ATTCAATTTATTATTATTATTATTATTATTATTATTATTATTATTATTATTATTATTATTATTATTATTAATTACCACTATTAGTTTTATTATTATTATTATTCATTAATATTAACCATTATTAGTAATGATAAAAAAAAATGAATATTGCTGGATTAAAAAATTATTAAAATAAAACAAAACAAAAAAAAAAAAAAGAAAAAATAATTTATTTTTGTATATATTAAAAAAAAAAAAAAACATTAATTATTATTATTATTATTATTATATTGGGAGGATTTAAAAATCATTATTATTATTATTAAAACTTAGTTTTTTTTTTTAAATAATATTAATAATAAAATAGTTAAATGTGAAGGAATTTTTATGTAATAGCAACAACAACAACAACAGCAACAATGGTTAATAATATTAATAATAATAATAATACGATTATTATTATTATTAAATTTGTAAAAAATAAAAAAAAAAAAAGTTTTATTCTTTTTTTTTCTTTCTTTCATTTTAAAAGGAAAAAAAAGAATGAAAAAAAACTTTATATCTGGGATTTTATTCTTTTTTTTTTTTTTCTTTTCAAAAAAAAAATTTTCTTTTTTTTATTGTTTAAACAAAATACATTCCCAGACAATATCTTTTTAAAAAAAAAAAAAGGGGAAAAAGAAAAAGAAAAAGAAAAAAGGAAAAAAGTCAGGCACCGATCGATAATAATATTTAAATCCGATATCGGTTATAAAAAAAAAGGGTATTTGGTTTGATCGATTCAAAATCAAAACAAAACAAATCGAGAGGGAAAAATGTCGCAATCACGTAAATAATCGTCGGGGAAATTTTTTTTGTTCGTACTAAGAAAAAAATTATAACGATATTTGTTATAATAATTTGTCTAATTATAATTGTGTTGTAATTTTTTTTTTTTATATAAAAAAAAGTGATAATCGGTTGTAGTTAATTCACGTTTATTGTTTATAAATGAATCATTATTTATAAAAGAAAAGGAAAAAGAAAAGAAATAATGGCGCGTCATCCATTTAATATCAAAAAAAAGTAAATATTAATTTTACATTATTTAAAAAAAAAAGGGCATAATGTATTCATTAAGTACAAATTATATAAAATGAAAGTAAATTCTGATATATATATATAAAGCATCGAAATAATACAAAAAAAAATTAGTCGCTATCCATTTTATGTATGTATATACACACAAACACAAACACACACACATTAATATATATATATATATATTATTTTGAGTATATTGTTGTAGTGGGATATGGTGATTTATAGTTTAGTTATAACAAGATGATACATTTTGGGATGATTTTAAGGAGAGGGTAAGAGACTGTCTCAATTTACAAAAAAAAAAAAAAAAACGTATAAATCCCGATATAAATAATATTTGTATATATTATATATATATATATATATATATATATATATATATATATATATATATATATATATATATATATATATATATATATATATATATATATATATATATTTAGAGAATATAAGTTGATATGATAAATGACATATATAAAACCATATATAGATTGTTGTTAATAATATGATGATGATGATGATGAAAAAGTACAAATAAGTCTCAGTGAAACCCTGATTTT